CTTTTTATTAAATAAAATATGTTTATAAATATACCGCAAATGGGTTGCCTAAGAAAATACGATCCAGACTATTTATTTTCCTAAAATAAAAAAAACTACACCCTGTAAAGTATTCTACAGATGCTTCGACTATGCCCAAACTTTAATCAGCTCACCGCAGGATAGATTAAAGCTTAAGTTTAAAATTTGGTGTTTTTCTCTTTTATCGTTTTTGAGTTGTCTTCAAAATTCGAAATTTGCACTTTTCCTCAAATATCTCGAATTAGGTCCATTTTAGAGAAATCATGTAAAAGAACAAAATAATAGAGAATAACATCATAAGCAACTTTTATTATAAATCCGTAGACTTTCCTTATATGTACACAGAAAGGAAAACAAAAAATGGCAGTGACCGTATTTTCTTAGGCAACCCATTTGTGGTATATTTAAAAACCTATTTTATTTAATAAAAAAAAATCCATTAAACAGATGGGTGAAGGTCGACCTTACTTACGGATCCTGGACTATATATAATACCTGAAAATAAAATTAAATATTTAGGGACAAACATATTCAATACTTACATAGCCTTTTCGAATCTCATCTTAACTATGGAATAATTGGTTGGGGTGGAGTCACTAAAACGCACTTAAAGCCAATCGAGATTATTCAAAGAGTTTTTAAAAAATATTGCTCAACAAAAATAGAAGGTATCCTACTGAAAATGTGTATCAAGAAACCTAGATATTTGACTTACGACAGTTATTCTATCAATCAACACTCACCCATCAATTTTAAAATCAAGATGAACTACAAACACCTTTGCATCAATATAATACAAGAAACACAGATAATTATTTGCTTCCAGGAATGAATAAATGAGTTGGGCGAAATAGTGATCAGTTTTTGGGGCCAAATTTAATAGCATTCCAACGGAGCTCTGAGAAATAAAAAGAATAAACAAATTTAAAAGATATGTAAAAGAATTTATACAAAAACACCACGAACTTTTTTCCGTAATATAATTGAATAAAAAAAAAATAGAAATTAAATAATTGGAAAGTATATTTAAATGTTTTATTTTTTATTATTTTGTCGTATGTTTTGTCACACACAATCTGTCATTGTACTTTGTACAGTGAGAAGGTTCAGTGACACATTTTTGTTTATTAACATTTTATTACTGAAGTCCTTTCTATGGGGCCTCAGTATTGCATTCGTGCAGACGAAAAAATTTTCTTACTCCCATTTTTAAAAACTTTTTCTCATATTTCCAAAAATGCAAAAAAAATTTGTCTGGTCGTCTGTGTGTATATATGCCGGCAGGGTTCTACGACATATCGTCCCAACGACAACTCATCCCACGACAATTCATCCCGACAATTCTTCCCACGACAATTCATCCCTGCGACTATTTATCCCAACGACATTTCATCCTACGACATCTCATCCCCAACAGTTATAAATAAATCGGAATACCGGTATAATCCACAGCGCAGAATCGGGCTTAAGCATGCTTTATCATGTTTTTAAAATAAATTTAAAAAATCCGTAGATCGGGCTTAAGCATACTTTATCATGCTTTTCAATTAAATTTGAAAAAATCCCTAGATCGGGCTTAAGCATGCTTTATCATGTTAACTTGGATAGTGGATTTTTCAATCACGAAATGATCCAGTTTGGTCTTGAAAAAATTCAACTTCAATTAAACTTAAATTAAACTTTCGATTATGTATTGAAACACAAATAACTGAATGATAAACTAAAACCTTTTCAAGTGCAATGACGGAACTGCAAATACATTTAATTTTTGAAAAAACAATAAAAATATAATTTAAAGGTTTATAAATGTAATAAACATAAACATATTACTCATATTATAAGGCCCTCATATTTTACAACAATATTTTTATTTATTTTTTTAATTTTTGATTATTTATTATTATTATTATTATTATTATTATTATTATTATTATTATTATTATTATTATTATTATTATTATTATTATTATTATTATTATTATTATTATTATTATTATTATTATTATTATTATTATTATTATTATTATTATTATTATTATTATTATTATTATTATTATTATTATTATTATTATTATTATTATTATTATTATTATTATTATTATTATTATTATTATTATTATTATTATTATTATTATTATTATTATTATTATTATTATTATTATTATTATTATTATTATTATTATTATTATTATTATTATTATTATTATTATTATTATTATTATTATTATTATTATTATTATTATTATTATTATAATTATTATTATTATTATTATTATTATTATTATTATTATTATTATTATTATTATTATTATTATTATTATTATTATTATTATTATTATTTATTATTATTATTATTATTATTATTATTATTATTATTATTATTATTATTATTATTATTATTATTATTATTATTATTATTATTATTATTATTATTCATCCCTCTGGCAATTCATCCCACGACAACTCATCCCACAAATATTCTAAAAATCTGATTCTGTGTATTTATTTTCAGTAATATTATTAAAAACAGCATAAAACTTTGTATTCATAAGAGAATCAGATTTTTAGAATATTTGTGGGATGAGTTGTCGTGGAATGAATTGCCAGAAGGATGAGTTGTCGTGGGATGATTTGTCATTTTTTTTTCTAAGGTATGAGTTGTCGCTGGGATGAATTGTCGTTGGGACGATATGTCGTGTCACGTGCCGGCACGATAACTCTAGAACGAAAGTTCTGATTGACTTGCGGTTTTGATTTTCTTGAATAATTTCTTATAACTTAGAACCCTATTGATTTTCAGAATTTTCGGTTCATTCTAACTACTTTAATATAAATTTTCTTAAAATCCGCATATGCATTTCTTATGTGACAATTTTAGAAATTCCAATTATTTCTAATGTCAACATTCCTAACATTCTTAAAATTCCATAAACTGCAAACATTCTCTAATGACCTGTCAAACAACAGCTGTTGATAGTAAAGGTGAAATTTCATACTTGCAACCATAGCCATTTTGGAGGCTATTTTTATTCGAAATTAGTCAAGACTGCCAATTTATGAAAAATATAAAAGCAATTTCTTAAAAATGACTTTTTTATGGTAGTGCTAACTTAAGCATACTACTATTTCGCCCCTAGCCACAAAAACACCTTCATCAAATTTACTGGCTCTCTGTCGCAACCCCATAGAATAATTGACCGGTCATTTTATTTGGCAAAAATCAGAATAATACTTGGCTGTGCCTGTCAAGTATCAAGATGTCAACTGTGATGTGTAAATGGCTCTTAAATGTCAAATTATTTAAAAATGTATACTTCTTTTGATATTTATTGCAAATAATTTGTAGTGTATCTCAATTCAGGCTTTCCATAAATAAAGGTACAGCAAGACAGATAATTTAATGTTTTTATACAAAGCACTTTTTTATTATATAAAAGAGAGCTAGGATATAATGCTGGTTTTGTGTAGTAAATTTTTATTATACGATTTTGGATTAGATATGCAACCAGCGAATTGTAAATAATAATTAGTAAACTTCTAGTCATAAATTTCTTCAATAAATAAAATACCGAGGTATTTTGTTGTGTTTTTTATTTTAATTATAAAGGTGTCATTTATTTGTATGTTGAAAGAAGGTCTTTGTAAATTACATTGCTCTCTATGGATCTACGTTAACACCAAAATAGTTTTGTGGCTATATAACTGACTATAAGTTGCTATAACCTATCGTCGCAAAACTATTAATAATTTAAACATAGTAAGTAGTATTAATATAACATCAAGTAATTTTTTAAAATAAAGTACATGATCTCAAAACAGAAATAATTTATAATAAATGCGGGTAAAACGAGGGGTAAAATAACAATAAATTAAGGGAAATACTTAAAAAGGGCAGGTTTAAAGAGTATTATCACAAGAAAGTTTATTCGTTCTGTTTATTTATCAAGTATTGTTTGAGGTTTCTTTTAAATACATTTATTGTTGTTTTTTTTTTCAATTTCTGTAGACAGTCTAATACATTTTTTAAACCTTTAATAAAAATTAAATTTTGGGAACTTTTAGTGATAGCTTGCCGTACATGAAAGTCAGATTGGCTTCTTGTATTATATTTGTGATATTGCGAATTATATTGAATTTTTTCTAATAGATCTGATGCAATGGTACTATATTATTTTTATTTTATAAATAAATATCAGTCATGTACTGAACATAATTTTGAACTGAAAGCCAATTTATTTCTTTTAACATAGTTGCAATACTTATCCTTCTGTCCTTTATTAATATTATATAAATAGGCGAAGTAAGGAGTCCAAATATTTTAAGAGGTAAAAGGGCTAGTTATTATTGGATAAATTGCTCAAACAAGTTTGTAAACCCTAATCAGAAGGCAATATAGAATGGTTTTAAAAATCAAGCCTTATGAAAATCATCACGTGGTTTAACCTAATTATTACCAATGCTTCACAAACCAAAAAATTCAACGTCCTAATACTACTATCGGCTTTCGGTCTTTCGTTCCAAGTTAAATCATTTCTCGTTTTTGTTACGCTACGAGTTTACCCTTGTGGGCCTCAGTCTCGATAAGGTGGGAACCACCATTTTAGCGTCTCTCGAATTTCCTATTGTATTTTATTGTATCTGAATGTATATATTTCTGGTAAATAAATATTATTATTATTAATTGCAAAATCTCTAGTTGTTCTTTTTTCTAATTTTAATATGACACCCTGTATAGAGCAGTAAATAGAATAAATAAAACAAGATAAAATATTTTAACTTGAATTTCAGAATTTTGGAAGAAATCTAGTTAAACGGTTGGTCGTTATTTAAAAAAATAGCAGGATCCTTTTACTCCATTTAGTTCCAATTTTAAGACACAGATACCGTTGAGAATATAAAATGGCTACCATTGATGCCGACGCCGGCATCGATTTTGTGGGATCGTGCGCGGGCAGCGCGTGTAAAATCACAAACTACAGATTCTCGACGTTACCAATAACTAACACATATCTACCGACTAGCTTCTAACACATATCAATTATATCCGACCAAAAAGACATAAATGAATCTCAAACGTTTTTTGACTTAAAACTAACGCGGAGATTTTGCTTATCCGCGAAAATGTGTCGATTTTACGGATTTTCAGTGACTTAGCGATGGTTTGTGTTCGTAGCGGAAAAAATTGACCAAGATGTTGAGAAATAGAGGGCCTGGGCCCCCATGGACATTGTTAATTATTTTTTGTGTTTTAATCGCTTCTGTGCCACTTCTAATTGAAGCAGAGAAGACTAAAAAATGTAAGTAGTTCCCCATTTATTTATACCTGTTCAAAAAACATTGTAGTATGTTGTTTACTGATCTAAGTAAATAAAAATATAATGTACAAAAAATTATAATTTTATCAATGAATTGAAATCCTAAAACATTTCTTATTTTCCATAAAAAAAATTAGCAATAATTTATAATGAGTAAAAGAAGCTGTAACATGCTTCTTCAAGTTTAATGCTAATGTTATTTAATTAAATTTATGGTTGGCATTTTGGTTTGCCATTTTTAATTTAAAAATTATTCATGTAATTTGAATAAGATATTTTTTACAATTTTTCAATGTTAGATTGTTATTTTTTTATCTCACGGTGCCAAACATTTAAATGATGATAGTAGTGAAAGAAGTTTGATTTATATTTAATTTCTTTCGGGCATTATATTATTATCCAGTAATATATCTGAATCAAATTTTAACAAATATTTACCCTGCCGGTGTTGGATTTACTGTCCCGTTGCCTTCTTTTGTATCTATCTCTTCCTCTTCTTTCAAGTTCTTGTTGTCTTTCATATCTCTATTGATTTATTTATGACCTACTACCTACTTCTTCTTTTTCTTCAGACGAGCTTAACGTAGTTTTTACAATTCTGTCCTATAAATCCATATCATTTTTGACATTCTATTTTATTTACCTATTTGTTTACTAATTTATTTACCGTTTCAAATATATAGTGATATTCAATTAAAAAAAAAATATTCAACTGATGGGGCGAGTTGAAAATCTACAAAATCAATTGAAAATGTACAAAAAAAGAATTTAACAGTGAAAAAAAAAAATTAAAATTTATCGAAACAAACAGAAATGACGGCCTCTTCTTTTATGGTGCTTCAGCTGCTTTGCTTTTCTCCATAATTGTGTATTCTCATTCTGATCAGGTCTGTTTATTCGCTACTGCTTTCCCACTCTAGTTTTCAGCTTCTGTTCTTCCAACAATAAACATCCAATTTTACATTTAATCTATCGAACTTTCAATTCATCTATCCCACTTGACAATTCTCAAAATCAACAAAACTAATAATCCCATGACACTCCTCTACAAACTTAATATTATTTTCCAATAAACATCAAATCGCTCAGATTTTTTAACTACATTTGAAAATTTTAACAATGACACCTGAACTTTTCTACTTAATTTCATCCCTTGGCGATTTTCCATATAAATAAATTGTATGTTGTTTACTGACAGTGGCGGCTCTCGATAAATTTAAAATTCAATAATTTTATAATTTGTAAGTTCGGTTCAAAACTTTATACAAGAGCCAATATCGTTGTTTTTTTTTTGTGTTTGTATTAACAGTAATTATTATTATTAAAATCATACTTTTTTGAAACACTAAAACTATTAATGAACGAATAAATGAATATTTTGTTTTTGTTATATTTGTTTCGTTTTTGATGCGTAGAAAACCATCTCTAAACATTATTAGTTAGTTAACTGACTTTTCCTTATATTTTAAGATTATTTTTAAATATATATACAGGGTGTCCCAGCTTTTATTTGACAGGCTGTAACTTTTATAATAATTATCAGAATTAAATGAAATTTAGAAAGGTGCTACAATGATATGTTTTCTATCTAATGAGCGTATTTTCAAATATCAAGAATTTCCAGTCATACCGGAAGTGACCATGAATTTTGTTATTTCAAATAGGTCACACTGTATATTTCAACAATTCTGAATTCTCCAATCAATTCTACATATTTTTCATGTCCTATACCTATCTCTAACCGTTTCTGATAATTTGGAGGTTACATTTATTAAGTATTTTGACTGAAAATCAAAATAGTACAATTTAATAAATTTTACGGACATTTTATAACAAAAAAATCTAACATTAGATATTATATGAACATTTGAAGTGCCTTCTTTCCATCTTTAGAAAAGCCTGATACTTCTTTAGTAGTTTCCTAGTTACACATTGTGTTTATGTATGTTTTGTGCTACCCATCTAGACATATCTAGTGGGCTTTGTTTTGTCAAACTTTCGATGTCATTTTGCATCGCTGTTGACAACTATTTGGTTATTTTTAGTGGTAACGACTCCAAGTACAATGCCTTTTACTTTCACACCCAATGAATGTGTTGATATGTTACTTTTATATGGTGAGTGTCAAAAAAATGGGCGTCATGCAAGAAGAGTGTATCAACAACGGTTTCCCGATCGTAGGACACCTGCAACGTATACTTTTTCCTTGATTAAGTCAAAAATGCGAACTGGTTCTTTTCCGAATTCAATAAAACATTTCCATCATGAGGCACCTGCAAGAAAGGAAGATATTCGATAAACCTATTGGCTTATGCAAATGTTAATCCAAAAGCTTCCGTTAGAGAAATTTCTCTAGAAATGGAAATTAGCAAAAGTACTGTACACAGGATCCTCAAATCAGATAAATACCATCCCTATAAAATATTTCTTGTTCAAGCACTTCGTCCTACCGAATACGAGTGAAGGTTGCAATTTATATCTCTTGTGCAAGTTATCATTTTTGAGGATCCTACGTTTTTGGAGAAAATCTTATGGGATGATGAATCAAGGTTTTACAACAATGGAGTGGTAAATCGCCACAATTCTCACTAACAGTCAGTAGAAAATCCACATTGAGTCAGAGAAAGTCTTTTCCAAACAGTATGGGTCTAATAGGTCCCTATTTTTTTGATGGCACGTTAAATGGGGTAAGGTATTTACATTTTGCTTCAAAACTGTCTTCCCCGGCTGTTAGAAGACATTCCGCTTAGCGATCGCGCAACCATGTTCTACCAACAGGACGGTGTCCCATCACACAATAATAGAATTGTCACAAATTACCTGGATATGAGATTTCCCAATAAATGGATTGGAAACAAGGGACCTATAAGGTGGCCGGCCGCGTTCCCCTGATTTGACCCATTAAAATTTTTTTATAGGGCCATCTCAAAAACATCGTCTATACAACCCAACCAACTGATTTAAATGATCTTAAAAATAAAATAAGAGGGGCATGCCATAGTATTACTTCCGAGATGATAAGAGCATCTTGTACAAAGGAACTCCTAAAACGATTTCAAGCTTATGTTGATGAGGACGGAAGACAGTTCGAACATTTATTATAATAATTATGTATACCCTTTTTATAACAATCAATAAACTGTACTATTTTTACATTTTATTTTCGAACAAGAATCATAAGGTAGTGTAACCACCAAATTATCAGGAACGGTTAGAGATAGCTATACGACATATTACATGAAAAATGTTTAGAATTGATTAGAGAATTCAGAATTGTTGAAATATATAGTGTGTCCTATTTGAGATAACAAAATTTAAGGTCATTTCAGGTATGACCGGAAGTTCTAGATATTGGAAAATACGCTCATCAGATTAGCCCTCAAGTCAGTATAGCTTCGACTTGAATTTCATTTAATTGTGATAATTATTATAAAAGTTAAAGCCTGTTTAATAAAATCTGGGACACCCTGTATATAAATATATATGTAGAAAGCTTTTTGTGTAAAAAATATTATTTTATTTGATCGGGTCGGTGGTGAAGCGGTCTCACGCGCTTATATTCATTTATAGGCCAGTTTATGGTCAGAGACAGACGGGCTTCGGATCACAAATCAGACCATGTGGATTTTTAATTAAATTGCATGGTTCTGTATAGGATTTGATGTGTGCCGTATTAATAGAAATTCAATTTTCTGTTGATATGACATGCAGATTATAAAATCGCCGTGCATTACCGTCTCGATGATGGTGGGTGAGGTTTTCTGGGTTTTCCTCACCTGCAAGTCAAATGGCACCATCAATCATCTTTAAGTCGCCCTGGAGCGCCGCGGCAAATAATAATAGCCGTCCCTTTCCCCGCACAAGCTCAACTTTAGGGGTTAAAATTCACTCGTAAGGGGGTGAATTAGGGAGAGTATTATTAATATTATACATGAAACTTTGCCAGCCATTTTTCAGTTTTTATTGTAAATTTAATCATTTTCACAATTTGTCACACATGTCAAATAATATAATTTTAAATACCTTTTATTGGCAAATAAATCAAGTGAACTACAATGTTTATTTTGTAAGTTCAATTCCATCACAATACATAATATTATACAGATATGTGTGGCACTCTAAATTATGTTTTTTACAATTTAACAGACCTTATGTTCAATCAGATTTTTTTTAAGAATCAAATAGGCTTCATCCCCTTGTAGAGCTTAATTTTTTCCAAAAATTTTTAGTTGATATTATTTTTCGTTTTTGAATTAGATTTTTTTTAAATATTTCAACCACCTTAACAACCCACTTTTATTAAATTTTTTTTGATATCCCTTTTAGAGCTTGATTTTTAAATGTTTTGATATCGCTTTTCATTTTTAATTTATGAATTTTTTTTGAACCCCTCATTTTTAATCAGATTTTTTTCAAAATCTGAGAGCTTTTCCTTATAGAGCTAAAAATTTCAAGTTGTTTTTTGTTTTTGAGTTAGGTTTTTTTTTAATACTTTAACCCCCTTTAACTCCCCAATTTATTCAGATTATTTTCAGAATCAATAGTCTTTATCTTCCTATAGAGCTTCATTTTTACTAAAAAATTCATGTTGAATCTCTTTTCGTTTTTTAATTTAGGATTTTTTTTTAATTTCAACCCCTCTTAACCCCCACTTTTAATCAGATTTTTTTAAAATCAATAGGGTTTGTCCCCTTATAGAGCTTAATTTTCGCTTAAAATTTTCAAGTTGATATCATTTTTCGTTTTTGACTTATCGTGCAGACAAAAAACGTGTCATCGGATAGACCGATAAAGTAAACCTATACTACTCGTCACAGACTACTGTGTGAAGACTAGAAAAAAAATTATAAGATAAAATAAACAGTGTAAAGAGGTCAACAATAATATTCAACTTCTTTTATCAATGGATACTAAAAATTTTAAATAGCACATAATTGAAAATCTGTGAACTATATTACACATTGTAAAATATTATCCAAAGT